CAATGGTGAACGTAAAAATAAATAAATGAATGATAGCACAAAGTTGATGATTATGGAGAAGTAATCTCCTGGAAGGAAAAGTGAAAATTAAAATAGAAACAATACAGACTGCAAGCATATGCATCTTTTGGTGGAGGCAGCTTGTACTTATCATCATCATCATCATCTGCTGCTGACTTCTTTTTCTTCCTCGACGAGGATCTGGAAGAAGATAACGATGATTTCCTCTGCTTTATCCTTGTTTTGGGAATATAAAATAAAATAAAAATTACGATGATATTCTAAAACAACTCTATTTATAGATGAAAAAAATACATAAAGGTATCATTACTTTACACTAGACTTTGAGTAGTCATCCTCTAGCCTCTTAGCATCATCGTCGTGGAAACCATCATCGTCATCCAAGTAAGAAGCACGTCTGCTACTCACTTTATGACCAGCATCTTGGTTGGCAGTATCAGAAAGTTTGTCATGTTTGCTCAGTTTTGAACTATCAGAACGTGACCTCTTCCTTTTTCGTGACCTTGAACTTGAGTACTTTGAACCGCCATCGTTTTTTTCATGAGAGCCTCTCTCCTGAGAGACTGATTTCGTTCTATAGATTCTATTTTTAGAAGGAACTGGTTTTTCCAGAGTTTTATCATTTTTTTTATTATCAACAATTTTCTTCTCTTTTGAATGTGACTCGTTTTTCAATTTGTGGTCATTTTTCGTTGAAGATGTTTTAGACATGTCTCGAGACTTGCGATGAGCTTGTGGCAATGTTGCTACTGCAGACGAGGACGACGTCTTTGATGATGATGATTTTGAAATGGCAGGAGGCGGTGACGAGTGAGAATGAGATAATTCCGAATGTTTTGATTTCTCAGATGATTTTGTTGTCGATGTCGTTGCTGTCTTTGTGGTTGTCGTTGGCTGTAGAAGTTTAGAATGACGATGACTCTGGTGGTCCTGACGATCGTCATGGTGGCTATGTTTTTTACTTGCACTCCTGCTTCTTACAGGTTTTGACTTGCTGACCACATCATCAACAGCAACAGCAGCAGCAGCAGTAGTAGTAGCAGCACATTTATTGTTACCAACATCTTTTTCACCGCACTTGTCATCTTTGTGAGTTAATTCATCACGCTTCTTATGTCCCCTGCAATGAAACCGCATTACAACAAATTTTAACAACAAAGTACATTTGCTAAAAACACAAACTGTAAGTTCTAACTTCATTCAACCAGCATAGCATTACAATTGGTTATTATCAGTATGACGCAAATAATGATATAATTAAGAATATTACCACAAAATAAATGTAAATAATCAATATCAACAATGATAATTTCAAAAACTTTTAAAAAATTAAGATGTAACTAGATCAGAAAAATAAAGATAATTTTTAAAAAAGAGGCTTTACTTGTCTGTGAGATGAGCATCATCTTTGTGTTTTTTCTGCACGACATCACAAGCAACATCATCCTTATCTTTGTGTGCATGTGTTTTGTTGCTGCTGCTGTTTTTGGTAGTTGGTTCATCTTTCTTCTTCTTCTTTATCAGTTTATCATCTTCCTCATCATCATTAGCATAACATTTGTTGCTCTTCTTTTGAACATCCTTTGCAATTTCAATCCTTAGGTCGGGTGACTTGTGGTGATGACGATGGCGATGATGCAGCTGTTTAGAATTATCTGCATTGCATTCATCGACATCATTCTTTTTCGATTTGCGTTGATGACTGCTATGATTATCAGAACAATCATCACCACCGTCGCCATGTTTTTTACCATGACGCGTTTGACATTTAACCTTTAGATCATGTTCGTCATGGACAACCACCTCAACCTCTGATTTTTTGCCAATGCCACTAAAATGTGTGCTAGTCAAGCTGGCAGTAGTAATTCTATCGACCTTTTTAGGGAGAATTTTGCTGATGGGAACAACGAGACTCGTGTTTGGCGGTTGGTGATGCAGTTGTTGTTTTTGCAAATAAAGATTTTTCTCAAAAACTTCATCAACGACGACGTAATACCTTCTAGGTTTATTGTCAACTACAATGGTTGCGTTGTCGTATGATTTGCCACTTGATTTCTGCTTCAAAGTTGGTTCTGGCAACAAGGCAGATGTATGACCAGAGAGTTGTTGTTTTGTTGAGTTGATTATTCCATCAGAGGGACTACACTTTTTGTGTTTCTGTTTTTTATCTTTAGGCCTCTTCTTCTCTTTCTTCTCCTGCTCATTCATTATTATCTCTATCTCATTGTTTTCTTCAGTTACGTTGGCACCAATATCATTGTAAGCTATTTTTGACTCCAGCAATATTTTGTCCGAAAATTCCATACCAGACTCCATTCTGTCTAGTGAACTCTTTCTCGATTTGATGACTGAATGTTTAGATTTGTGCCTTTTATGTTTGTGGCTCTTCCTGCTACTTCTACTGCTGCTGCTATGTTTCTTACGACTTTTGCGGCTACGACTGCCACGGGTTACGCTATTATTATCAACGTTAACAAGAACATTATCATTATTGACCTGTTTGTACTTTTTATTAACCACTTGATCATCTTTCTCTTCTGTCACATCATCATCATTTATTTCGCCCTCCTCTGGTGACAACACCTTTGTATCTCGAGTTGTGTGGCTGGTATTTCTACCACCATCATCGTCGTCGTCGTTCTCACCAGCATCATCACTATGTTCCTCATTTACATCATTTGTCTCGCAGTGGTGTGATGTGCTCTGTTTATCCTATTATAAAAATTATTTATTTAAAGATTCCATTTGAATTACACTGAAAAATTATGCAATGTAATCATAATAACAATTAAACGAGTTAACGTAATTACAATTAAAGGAATTAATGTAATTATAATTATAGGAGTATTAATGATAAGTAATTATGGATGAGCGAATGGTAAACCAAGGTGACAGCAAACAAACCTTATTATCATCGTCTTCATCATCAGTTAACTTTTCATTGATTCTAGGTGTCGGCGGTTCGTCGAGGACGGGCGTGCCCATGTCAGATGGGGAGTCAGGAATTGAATTTGACGGAGAGACAGGTGAAAAAAGTGTGTAGTCCTCGCGAGTGATGTTTGTCAAGTTTGTAGTAGTAGAAAAACCTGCTATGTTGTTGCTGCTGTTGAAAGTGGTTGCAATGTTGTTTTAGTTGCTTGTTGCGTTAATGCTATCCAGTTGCATTGCAGTGTCATTTAAAGTTGTTGCAGAAATGTTGTTGATATTGTTTGAAAGTATTGTTGTAGATGACGGAAGGTTCATTGTTGCCTGCTATTGAGAATTGTTGCAAATAATTACTCGCAACTAATTCAGAGGTATTTTTGTCCATCGGGATTGGTGTGAGTGTTGTTCCAGTTGATGTCGCCAATAAATCTCCAGCACCAGCAAAAGTGACATCAACATTTGTAAAATGATTGCCATCCATCAAGTTAATGCCTGCATACTGACCAATTGCTGGCTGTGTTTGAAAAATTTGTTGTTGCTGCTGCTGCTGAAAACGTTGCTGTTGCTGAGATTGCTGTTGTTCGAGATTAGTGAACATGGATGGCGAGTACATATCTGATGTCGATGTGGTTGCTGGTGGTAGTGTATGTGTCGACAGTTGTTGTTGCTGCTGTTGCTGGTGCTGCTGTTGATGGTGCTGGTTCTCTATTGAGTCATTGTTATTCAATCTGCATTAATGTGAATAATTTTATATATCTTTTAAAAAACTGTAAAAATTTATGAAAACTCGACCAGAGAGAAAAAAAAACTAGAAAACTGACATAGGTGAGAATACAGAACTGACACTGAGCTGGTCGTTGGCTTTCTCCTCGTCCTCCAGATCGCTGGTGATATCACTCATCTCCGTTTTCTGATTGTGTGTATCAACTCAACCATTCAATGATAAACATTACATTAAACTATTAAATAATTTACACATCTTATAGTATTATTTCCGACTACCTTAAGAACATTTTCATGCTAACAAGCAGTAAAACACATAGAAACAAATATGAGATAACATTTGAACAGATTGGTAATAATTTTCAAAATAAAACAGTATAATATGTAAGTTTTGGTCTCACAAATTTGTTAAACGTTATTTTAATAATTAATATTGGCATATTGAGAACTTGATCTGACTTCACTAACAACATCACAAACCTTTGCACTATATGCTGGTGATGCATTGTCAGCATGGTAGTCTGAAGACATAACTGAGGAATCATTCAGATGATCATAGCCAGCAATTGATTCAGCTGAAGTAGCTGAAGTAGCAGCTGTTGTTGTTGAATCATGTTGCTGTAGTTGTTCCTGCTGCTGCTGCTGCTGTGGCACTCCAATCCTGGCAACCAGGGCAGCTGTGAGTGCTTGGATCTGTGCCATCAGGTTGCTGTCAATCTGTGGTACAAATGATTGCTGCTGCTGTGCTTGGAGCAAGGATGGGATGTCCGCGATAGATTGCTGCGTTGTCGTCGTCGTCGTTGTTGCATGTTGTTGTTGCTGTAATTGTTGTTGCAAGAGTAACTGTTGTTGAAGCAGCTGAAGTTGCAGTTGTGGGTTTGCAAGAAGTGGCAGTAGTAGCTGAAATGTTTTATAAAAACGTCATTATATTAGCAAAATAACAATGACATAGATAGCAACCAGGCAAAAAATGAGCAATGAAAACAAAATTCAAAGTGAGGAACCAACCTGCTGGGTGAATGTTTTCAACAGATCAACTGGCAGCTGTAGTGGCTCACCATCGGCAGCCAGCATCAAGGATGGTTCAGGAGTAGCAGCAGCAGTAGCAGTAGACATGAGCAGGTTGACCTTGTTAGCTGACAGCTGCTGTTGGGCAAGCAAAGCTGACGGAGTCACTCCTGTTATTTGCTCAATTCTCTTCTGAGCTATTTGTTAATTGAGGTTATTCATATTTTAAACTCTAAACTTTATACCAACAATTTTATGTAAAATAATTTTCTTAATAACTACATGAAATAAGTTGTTTCAACCAGAGTTATTGCACACTGATATTAAGATACATTGATGAATATCAACAACAGTAAAGAGAAACAGAGATTAAGAAAACACATATAAAAGAAATCTAACAGAAAAAATATGATATAGAAACAAACAACTAGCAAACCATTAACGTAGATGTCTACATTGGTAGGATCGGCGGCCATGTCAAGGAGTGGCTGTATTATGTATGGTGAGAACATACTATTCTTCTGCCACAGGTTTAAAACTCTTACTATCTTGCACTATATGTGGATAGATGGATGGTTGGATATATGAATTGATGGATAGATAGATGAATGGATAGGTAGATTGATTAATTGATAAATAGATGTATGGATGGATGAATGGATGGATAAATTGGCCATGAGTAGAACAATCTATCCATCACAATAATCAATAAAACACTTTTTACATATGATTAAATTAACTCAGCACAGCAAACAAAAAATTGATTTAAAAACAAAATAAGCAATTCATCAGCATTACGAAACAATACTATTTCATAACAAATCAATCATCATTTAATCCAACAATGATATATATCCATAATTTTATTTGGAAAAAATGACAAAACTTTAAAAAATTGTAAACAAATAAACAATCAAACATTAATTTTAAAAATGTTCTCAAACAAATAAAATGGAAAAATAAATCCAACACACAAACAAACAAATTAATTTTTAAAAAATGTCCTCACAATTTCGTTGGAAGGGCAGCTGAAGAGATCATGGAAGGTGACAGCAATGTTCCTGGAGAACCTGGCCACGAATGGATCCTTATCGGGGCCGAGTTGGTGTCTTGACTGTCTAATGATGGAGTCTATTACGTATAGACCCGGGAGTTTGTAATCCGGTTGGCACTGAAACCAAATACATTGTTCCAAATAATTTTAATTTTGAACTTTAGTCAAATAAGTAACTATCCTAACAAGCTGATGATCAACTATGATATACACAATGATAAAGGTGTTTTAGAATACATCAAAAAAAAGATTAAAATAAAATTTGTTTATTATATAAAAACTGATAAAAAAAACTAACTTTATGGATGAACTTTTCAATGCTAAGTACGACGTGCTTGTAATGTTTCAAGGACTTGAGGGCAAGTTTAGTGAGGCCATTCATCTTGGCCTTTGAGATGGGAGGTTTTACTTGGTACAATGAGTTTAGCTGCAAGTAGATGAAAATAATGATCATGAATAAATGTTATTTTAGTCAACTGAAAGAATTCATTTTTCATGTTAATGAATAAAATGAACCAAAAAATGTATTTCTGAAAAAGAAAATGTAAAAAAAAAATTCTCAGCTGTAAATAAAATATTTTTCTTTGTCTATACATGCTTTGCCTCATTTATTATTTTGATGATGTCTTTTATTTGAATTTAGAAATTTGATCATATTAAAATATTAAATTTACTTTGCAGTCTAATCAATATCATAACATACACATCAACACTTACTACTGAGTGAAAGTCAGTCAAATGAAATGAAATAAAACAAATTTACAAAACAGAAGAGAGGAACACTAATTATAATACAACATTAACATTTCATTCATTTCCCTTTTAATTAACAATTCAACATGATTTTTTTTAAAACACCAATCAAAACATCAGATCTAAGCATCTTCAAGTGCACGTGAAGTATAAACTTGCGCTTTAAATAGTTTTGAAATGCATTGAGTGCAAGCTCGATAATTTTATTAATTTGAACTTAAATTCCCCAGAGGACTATCTGTAAATTAAATGGCCCCAGTCAAAAACTATCACTCACTCCCTGACTGAAAATTTGTGCAAAAGTTAGATTTTTGTGAAATTTTTCAACAATTTATAATTACCTCATTGTTGAATTCTTTAACTTCCTCCATTTTTGTTGAATTTAAAGCAAATCAAACGAGTTTATCCCCAATGAAAATGTACTTCTGTTAATAAAATCACACAACAACAATTATCATACAAACTAAACAAATATGGCTGACAATAAAAATTAAATTTCCGGCGCTACATTTTTTACAAGCTTTTAAAAACTGGAGATAGATCGAGATTATTGTAAAAAAAATAGTATTTTTAAATAGTAAATTAAATATATTTTAAACAAAATACAACATTATAAATTTAAATGTTTTATATTATGGCAAAACGTAATTTAAATTCAATTTGTTTAAATAATTACATTTCAATATTACAAATAAAGTTTACAGTCATTTTATAATTCCACACCTAATCGATTACTCCATGCCTAAAGTTTTAATATAATATAAGCTTAAATTCATATAATTAGAATAAATTGCATGGGTTTTAAAATTAATCTTTTCTCATTAACATATTCACTTACAATTTAATTTTGGGTTTTTCCAATTAGTCTTATTTAAAAACCAGCTGTTGCTGTATCATGTGTTTACAGCTCAGTGTATATGCGGTATGAAAATGTATGTATGAATGTATTTATTTATTATGATATATGTATATATATATATATATATATATATATATATATATATATATATATATATATAATATATATATATATATATATATATATGACAGTATTAAAAAAACTTTACGCTATCATTAACGGTTGCGCATTGTTATGCAAAGCTCCATTAGTACCCGTTAGGTGAATGTTGATTGACATGTTCGTTACCTTTACCAGGAATGAGTAATGAATTGTTGATTGTTAATTAGTAGTTATCAATAAAGATAAATTTGGCATGGGAGTCTTTTCAGGATGTACAATTTCCCTGGATTTTAGTAACTCCACGAAAGTGAAGGAGAAAAATGAGCTGAGGCAGTTGGTGACTGACGCTGGTGGCGTTCTGTCCTTCATACTCAACAAGCAGGTACACTTTTATATTTACTTAATCAATCGATTCTAATGCCGAGTTTCAATTCTGGTGTCGGTTACTTGCTTAACTTCTTAACTGCACCTTGACTTGTATTATAATATATTCTATTGCTTCAGTCCTGCTGCTGATATTTTTTATTCTCGAGCTAAAGTTTTATACCAGATCTGGTTTTCAGAATTTGTCTTTTAACTTTTAATATCTATTCATTGTTTATTCTACAATTCAAATTTGCAAAATACACAACAGTGCAAATTTTTGGCCACAAATGATGCTGAAAAAACGAAGAATTCCAGCAAATGCCAAATGGCAATTAAGCTTGATATCGCAGTTGTGTCAACGGCCTACTTGTATGAATGTGTGTCAGCTGGTGCTTTGCTTGACGTTGCAAGGTACAAAATTATTCCCAGTGCTTCTGAACTTTCTTTTGAAAGAGGAATTATATCTGGTTGGCTTATTATTTAAGGGATTTTTATTCTTTTCATTACCTTCAAATATCTAATAAGAATATTTCTCTATTTTAATGAAGACGGGAAGATGACGAAGCCAGGTTCAACGTTGTCAATGTTGACTGCTTCACAATCTGTGAACCTGAAGGTCTGGAGAGCTACTGATGCAAGGAAACCACAATTTGATGAAGATGATTACCATGTCGTGGATTATGCAGTTTTTCTGGTAATTAATTATTCCAAACTGTTTTTAAAATTTCGTTCTGTCAAGAACTCAAAACTTATAACTGTATATTTTATTCATGTTCTAATGAATTATTCATTCAAGAGTTCTGTGAAAAGGGTCAAACAATTGAAAAAAATATTGTACGAAGTTCTTGAACTCCATGCCAGTGAAGTTCCTTCTTCAAACAAATTTTATCATTTCAGAATAGTGTCATGCACTGGCCAATTAAATGCTGAAAATGAGGTTATTTTGAAAGCAAACATTTTTTGTATGTATCTATTCGTACCATTTTCATTCTAAATTTATTTCTTTGTTTTTGATTACTAATTCTATTGTATTGATAAAATATGTGTAATAAAATTTAGACGCTGGACTCGATAGACAAGTTGGAATATAGGTACACAGATGATTCATGCACTGCCATGACAACATTTTCAAAATTGTTTGACGTCATCTCTGCCAATTCTGAAATGAAGCCCACTTCAAATCCAGGGAAATATGCTTGCTCCGTTAAGCTGGAAGAGGCGTGTGTTTTGAGAAACTTCGCTTTTTATTTGTCTGTTCATCTGTTTGTGTTTTTATTTCTTCTAATTTTACTGCATTCCTTCCTTTGTTTGTTCCTTTGTTCATTTCTTTCTTCGTTCTTTCCTTCTTTTGTTCATTTGTTCGTTCGTTGATTTGTTCGTTCGTTTGTTCATGTCTAATGTTCATTTATCATTTGTGAGTTTGTAGATGTGAATGACAATAAGATGAATCTTTTTCAAATGTAATTAACAGATATCTCTTGTTTATTTTGTTGAGATATCTTTTTAATGATGTTTTTCTGAATTGAAATAACGAATGCCATGTTCATAATAATGTGCAAACAAACAAACAAACGAACGAACGAACGAACAAATATATAATGGAAAATTTAAATAAATGGCAATTATTAAATCAGGATGAATTGCCTGCACTAACAAAATTATTCAATTGTACAAAAATACTTAATAAGAAAAATTGCTGACTTTCATTAAATAAAATTATTGACTAGAAAATAGCACGAGATACATAAACCCCTCTGATAACTTAGAAAATATTTTTGAAACACCGCTACTACATCTTAATAGCTCCTTCGTAGCAAGGCTATGTGCATGACGATAAATCGTCCAGAAGATGGGAATTTGGTGGAACAAGTTTGGCAAGAGTCCGTCGGATCACTTGATAATCTTCTGGACTGCCCACTTTCCACTATCAAAGTGAATTTTTGGTTGCGTTTGCACGCTTTCGATGTTTACAACCATTTGCTTATTTGTTTTTGTCACGCGTTGTCTCGAGATGACGACGAGTAAGATGATGATGTTGACAAAGATAACGACATTACCTCAAGACAAAGGTTGACAAAGTGGAAGCCATTCTAGTGCAGATAAAGCAGAAGCTGTCGGGAAATTCCACTAAGCCATCGTCGTCGTCATCGTCATCGCTGTTGTATGCAAACGACAATTCTAAATCACTCGGTCAGCTGCTGGACGAATTTTATGACCTTGTACCACACAAGGCGGCCCATCAAAAAATGGACGTTGATTCAAAATGGCTGGCTTCTAAATTCGATCTATGCCAGGTGAACGATATTGTAATGTTTAAATTTGGAAATTTTGTTTCAAAGTTAATTACAAATCAACAAACAGCTAATTCGGGATATGTTAAATCTCTCTGAAACTACCGGGTTTTCCGACAAATGTCCAACCATTACTAAATATAGATCATTAAAATGCTCCATTAATCTATTAGACGAAAGTGAAAGTGAATATTCTGACGTCATCAACTTCATCAACCAATCAAAGCTTCAACAGGATGGGTCGGTAGAAATGACATTTTTGAATGTATGATGAATGAATGCGTGAATGAAAGAGCGAACGAACGAGTAATGAACAAACGAACGAACAGATTAAACGGTTAGATGAATAGATGGATTAACAGACAGATAGAATTAGATGAATGAACGAAAGATGTAAATTAATGAATCAAATTATAAGAATTATCAGTATGCAACGACCCATTAACTTGTTTATTGTTCAGATATCCTGACATAAGCATCAAGAAAATTTTTAGCATCCACAAGCCATTTGAAGCATCTCTGTTCCAAGAGAATACAAGGAAGAATTTCGATAAAAATGACAACACTGTGAGGTTGTTTCATTGCTCGAGACCTGAAAACGTTGTCGGCATTTTATCAAGGTGATCCTTGTTTGTTTTGTGCTCCACATTCCTGTCTGCTTCAGCAGCTGAAACCTTCTTTTATAACATGCATTTGTTTTTTGTTTTCCGTCTCATTTTTTATTAATACTTTTTATTCAAATTATTTTTTAATAAAATTAAAATTAGACTTGAATTTTCTTAATAAATAGAAGTTATCAGAATATAAATGTTTTTGGAATACGAACAATTCATAATCCCGCTGAAGTTAAAATTAAAATTTCTCAAAATGAAATTCCTTCACCCCAAAGTAATTTTTCTTCTCCAACGCAACAGAGGCTTGCTACTGCCAAAAGTCTTGGATGAAAGAATCGGCGGACCCTTGAACGAAGTGAGAAGATTGGGCGGGGGTATCTATTTTGCTGAATCGGCGAGGTTTGTGGTTGTCCTACGTGTTACCATTTCGTTTATCATTTTGTCGATACTTATGCTTATCATGTCATTTTTTTACCATTGTATTATGATACAATTAACTTCTGACAGTGTTAGTAGCTTGTACTCGATGAAATCTGACCACACATCCTCCCGTTACATGTTCATATGTGAGGTCAATTTAGGGCTGGAGCAGGAGGTCACGAAGGAGTGCCCAGAACTGACCTCACCCCCTCATGGCTACCACAGCGTCCACGCACTTTCGTCAAGGAAAGATCCGTTATCAGTATTTAAGGTTGAGATACTCAATATATCAAATATTTAGATACTTTTTAAGTTTTGCACGTGTTGAAAACTACCTTAAACCAATGGATTTTTTTAAAGATACTTACTTTATCAAATACTTGTTCAAATTAACCAGTTGAGGTATTTTTAAAGTGATTTTTTAAATTTTTTGATACAGGATGATGAGTACGTTATCTATTCGACTAATCAGCAGATGCTTAAATATTTGGTTGAATTTAATTGGTCGACGGATGGGGTAAAGTGTAACGAGGATTTGTATCCGTGCGTCCCATTGGTCGGAAGTGAATTGAATGCTGGCGTTCATGAAGTTTCTCTCAAATTGATGGACTGTAAGATGATGATGACGATGATGATGACGATGATGATGACGATGATGATGACGATGATGATGACGATGATGATGATTTTATTGATTTATATTCACTCTTTGGTTTTTATGTATCAATGTTTTTTATTAAATTCATTCTCAAATTACGGACATTTATCTGGCAAAATCCTAAATTATTAATATTTTTCTATCGCTACCAGTAGCAAGTGATGACGTAGCAAAAATGGCTGACCCTTTGACGAAAGTGAAGGCCGGTCTGTTGACGTCATCGGGAGAGGAGAGCGTGCCAATGAAGTCTGTTGACGTGTTTGTCAAGATGGTTGATTTGGTAGCCGAGGTTGGTCTAGTTATTTACTTTTTTGTAATTATTTCATGTGTTAGGAGGAGATCTCCTTGCATTCGTACCCGGGAATGGCAACTGCAGTGCCAAGTACCTTAATCAGTACGCTATCGCGTCATCCTTCTCTATCTTCACCTACCATCTTTTACAAATTGAACAAAACGTAAAGGTTGTTATACTGCAAGAGTATTTCGAAGCAAAGAAGGCTGTCAAAGGTGTTAAAACTATGCCTGGAGAACCTACTTTCACAGAAGTTAAGTACGTTCTACCACTGGACGACATGGCTACTGTGTGTGGATTTGAAGCTTTCATCAATGATAAGCATATAATTGCTGAAGTAAGCGATCGGTCGGTTGGTTTGTGGGTTGGCTAGTTGTTTGGTTGGCTAGTTGTTTGGTTGGTTGGCTAATTGGCTGGTTAATTTGTTTAAATAATGAATACTTCAATCATCTTTTTATATTTTTCCATATTTTTTGTTGACAATGACGTCATGTTCATCATCGTCATCGTTCTCACCATCACCATAATTTTGATTATTATTTTTCATCACAAATATTGCTACTTGGTCGTCAGGTGAAAGAGAAGGAAAAAGCGAGAAAAGAATACAAGGAGGCAGTCAGCAAAGGACATGGTGCGTATCTTATGGACCAAGATGAACAAGTACCGGTAGGTCTGTGTGATGGTGATGATGGTAGTTGTGGTGGTGGTGATGATGATAATAATGATGATGACGACGACGATGATCTTCATAGATAAACTGGTAAAAAAAGTGATTCGACTTTGAAAGTAAATATTCTGATGGATGATTATTAAAATTGAAATAAATAAATAAATGAAATAGATTTAGTTAATATTCTTCTCCACCTACATGCATTTCTTTCCATTTATCTCCAGGATCTTTTCACCATAAGCATTGGCAACCTGCCTGACGATTGCAACGCCGTCATAAAGATAACATACGTAACTGAACTATCAGTAGATGCACACGGAAACATCTGTTTCAAACTTCCGGGGTGTGTTGCTCCTTGGAAACAGGACGACATGATGGGTGACCTCACTCAGGTTGGGTGGAATTGGTTAGGGTTAGGTTTCTTTTGTATGTACTATGAACAATTGGAAAATTCATTTTTTCTTTATTCAATTAATAAAAAAAATCAAGTTTGTCGAATTCGGCAAAATAAAAATTGAATGTTTAATTGAATGAATGGTTGTGATTGAAATGTGCTCGTCTTAAAAATATAAACATTCAAAGCGTTTAACAAATATTTAAATCTAAGCTAGTCCAATGATTTAATTTTTTAGGCTTTGGTGATTTTATTTTATGCCGGCCTAATGAGATGACGCAAATTTTGTTTGAGAAAAAATGTAAAACAAAACGGCAGAGAGCCACGAGAACGGATTGGGTGCATTCGGGAGATGTCACGAAAACAAACCTTCAGGTCATGGTTGAGATGCCCTCTGAGATAAGGTCAATAACGTCGCCCACTCACGTCATCAGGGTCAAGGTGGTTTGTTTGTTTTGTCAGTTGTTCGTTTTGTTGGTCAGCATTTGTTGGCTTGTGTTAACTGGTTGTTGCTTGTCTTCTCGATTTGCATTTGAACGCCATCACTGCGGCGCGAGATCGCACGCTCTACTTGCGCGCTCTCACAAGACAACATGTACGAAACATACCAGTATGCAATGACAACCGTGCGTGAAACATGTAAGACGATTGTCGTAACGTGCGAAGCTTGCAAGTGTTCAGAACATGATCTGTGACGTCCACACACACACACAATTTACACCAATTTACAAGTTTCCTAAAAACTGCCATCGTAACCATCGTCGCTACGCCATCATTAGGAAACAGCGACAAAAGCTGTGGTGGAAACGGCACCGAACGTTCGACTGAACAGGGGATTCGAACTTGTCGTAGCACTGGCACAGATCCACGTGCCACGAATGTGGGTGGAACAACATCCAGACCAGCAGGACAGCAGGGTGAGTTAAGAGTTTGACTCTACAAATCTTACCATTTTTTTCGAAAATTTAATAAATAAAAATTATGATTTTTTCTCTTAAATAGGCCTGCATGTTAACTTTCTACCCCGAGTTTGAGAGTACATCATTGGACAAATATGAGATCGTCTTCATTGTCGACCAATCACAATCGATGGCCCATTCCAAGGCGTTCGAGACCGCCAGAATGGTTGGTGTTGATGAAATGAGAATAGCGAGATAATAACTTGCATCTTGTCTGATCACATTTTTAAAGATTTCACGAATAATATTTAATATATTTTTTTCATAATTAAAAAATCTTGCAACGGAAAAAAGGAAGGAGGTGGTTTTTTCATTCCGTCGTTTATTCATTCATTCAATAATTCATTTGTTCATTCATTCGTTCATTCATCAAGGTGCTGATGATGTTTTTGAAGAGATTACCCGACAACTGTTTATTTAACATCATTCTCTATGGAACAGGTTAATGAATATATGACAAGTAGGTTTAGGTTTATTGTTTATGAGGAGTCCGACTATAATTTTTTTAAACTCTATCAACATGCTAGTAAGTTGGGCTTATATAATTTAAGACATTGGTTATTTTTATTTTTACATTTGCCGATTGACTACAGACTTTTCAAGGTTATTTGTCGCAAGCAAGCACGTAAATGAATCAACGTTAAAAGAAGCACGTGGATTTTTGGAAGTGAGTTTTTTTAAAATTTTCAAATTAATGAAAATTATTTGGTTTCGTCACGTATTCGGTTAAATAAATAATTAAGTAATTGAATAAATGGTTAATAGATGAACAATTTTTCAATTAAATTTAACATTAGTTTGTTTGATCTTTCATCTCAACAAATCAGAAACAACGACCACATTAAGAAACTAAAACAATTTCACCCAGAAATCAACATCACTTTTGGGAAACACAGATCTCTTCCCGATCTTGAAAAAGTATTTGATCCTTTCATCTCCATCACTGACCAGGAATCTGCTGCTGATAAGTGATGGCTACTTGGATAGCGAAGCGGAAGTATTCCGGATTGTGAAGCAATTTCCAGACACAACGAGATTGTTCTCTGTTGGAGTAGGGTCTGTCTTTTGTAGAATGGCCAATTTTTTTATTTTAAAATCTTTGAAATTTGAGATGTTGGGACTTTGAAATTTGGGATTGGGACTTTGAAATTTGGGATTGAAACATTATGCGTAAGCATCTATTTAGCTATTAGACTTAGCTGTTAAACTCTGGTGTTACGAAACGATACGATACAATACGATTGAAATTTGGTAAGTTGGGACTTAAAGTTTTGGATTTGGGACGTTGAAATTCTCGATGTTGATAATATCAACAATCTATGAAGTTTGCTTGCTACATGCCACCATATCCAATTTCTTGTTGGAGTTGGGTTTGTGGTTTTGTAGTTTTTCGGGTTTTAAAATCATGGTTAACGTTGAAAATAAGAATATGGGTGATCAAATAATCAATCTTTACTAAACTACAGTCATTTCGTTTGCTTGTCGCACGGCAATTATAGCCACCTTAGCTAATTCTTTTAACTTTTAAATGCTAATTTGTTAAATTAAATTTTAATTTTAAATAGTTTGAACACATCAAAAATTTTTTTTGAAATGTTTGAATTTTATTTTGATTTAAAAAATGTAAAGGAACAAATAAAAAAACAAATTAAATTGAAAGAACACAACATAACAGAACATGGCATAGCATAACATAACATAACGTAAAATAACACGATGATTTTTATAGTGTTTCAAGGAGACTAAAAGTTTGTGACAGGACCATTCTGAAATGATGTTAAATAATTTTAGTTTACAATTTAATAAATTTTAATAAAACGCCCACAGAACAACAGCCAACAACTATTGTTTGAAAAACTTGGCGCGCGTCGGTCATGGAACCTATGAATATTTTGACGACCTCTTCAAGTTTAAATGGCAAGGTGAATGAGTGAGTAAGTGAGTGAGTGAGCGTGTGAGTGAGTGAGTGAGTGAGCGAATGAGTGAATGAATGAGTGAGTGAGTGAGCGTGTGAGTGAGTGAGTGAGTGAGTGAGTGAGTGAGTGAGTGAGTGAGTGAGTGAGTGAGTGAGTGAGTGAGTGAGTGAGTGAGTGAGTTGGTTAGTCACAACACCATAATCGTTATAATATATATATATGATTGGCGAGTTAGCTCAGTCGGTAGAAGTGGCCTGGTTCGAGTCTGTCCGACACTCAAAAAGTATCATTCGCCGTGCTCTTATGATGCGGTGTTTGCGCGGGCATGCATAATGCGCATGTACCGCCAATGATGTACCACAGTAACTGATAATAATATTTTCGTAATTTTCAACTTGCAGCTAAAGTAAACAGTCACCTGGAAAAATTCATCCAGCCAGCATTATCCGACATATCGATTGAATGGCAGAACTTCAACGACGTGGTCGACATCGTACAGGCTCCAGCCATGTTTAGCGCCCTCTTCAATAACTCCAGGCTCGTTGTCTATGGTTTCGCTCCTGACTGTACAATGGTTCGTGTCTTTGTTCATTCCATTCACTGACTGATTGGCCAGTTGGTTGATTGAGTGATTGATTCATTGGCTGATTGACTGACTGATTGATTGATTGATTAGCTAATAGATTAGTTGACTGGCTGGTTAGTTGGTTGATTGATTGATTCATACATTGGTTGATGATTGATGAATTAATTCATTTATTGGTTGGTGATTGATTGATTGATTATCCGCTAAATTGATTGATTAGTTGATTGATTGGTTGATTATGTCCTCAGGCAAAACTGAGAGCTAAAGTTAAGGGTCGAGAGATATCAACGATCGTATCAACGTCCGAACTAAGCATTACAACAGGACATGTTTGTTCTCATCGTTGTTATCATTATTATCACCATTTTCACTTTTAATGTTATTTTTCACCATAATAATTATTTTCATCATCATTATGTTGTACAACGACAGCAAAACACCACAAAAAACAACACAAGCAAACAAACGAACGAACAAACAAAACTCGTACACGCACACACGCACGCACGCACACATTTCAAGGTGATACACAGATTGGCAGCGAGATCAATCATACAAGACTGGTCTTGCGGAACACTTTCAATGAATCAACTAGAAGATGAAGTCAGTCGTCGTATTAATAAAAATGTTTAATTAATTATTACATTCAATCGTTCGTTCATTCATTAATTCATTCATTCGTTCGTGCGTTCGTTCATTCTTCGTTCGATCATTCATTCAAATGTTGGATGTAGGTGATTAAAAGATTAAGAATGAAGTACATTATAAATCTGAGCATTCAACACTCCATCATCACTCAGTACACGAGTTTCATTGCTGTCGAGGAAAGAAAGGAGGTGGTTTTTCATTCCGTCGTTCATTCTTTCATTCATTCATTCACTCGTTCATTCATTCATTCATTCACCTATTCGTTTTTTCATTCCATTTTCCTAACTCCAATACGAACAACGACGAACAAAACAGAATGAACAGTTCCATACTATTGATAAAGGCAAAATTGTGAAAGATTGCGTTGTGGACCAACTGCCTTATATGGACTGGAGACCAACCATTTGCAGAGTATGTATGTAGTTGTTTGGCTTGCCGAACAATTTTTTATTTTCATTTTTAAATTCAATTAATTATATTAACTTAAAATTAATTTTTTATTTTTATTCTAAAAATAAACTTTCAAGGTCAAACTTCTCACTCACGACGGTCAGAGCACGTACGCAGACATCAAAGAATCCAGTACTTTAAAGGACCTGATATCCATGATACCAACAATCATCACGTCATCTTCCACCGACAACTTCGTCCTCTGGACTCTGACCGATGCCATTTTCCTGAATGTTGCTGACATGGAGATGAACGTTTGGGATTTATATGGCAGTCTGGTGGATGGAGTTCTCTGCCTGCCAACTTCGATCAATATCACAGGTAGTTATAATTTTCATGGCGGAAGGATAGGCTCGTAAAATATTCTCCCTACAATGGATTGAATTGATGTTCGTAATATTTTCAGTGTATTCTATCACCAACAGATGAGAAATCCATCCTAAGTAATGCAGACTTCAGAAAAGAGCAAGTGCGACTGCTACTTTCGAGCATTGATACTATCAGTCGTGGGGTCTTCGAAAAGATATTCGATCACATCCCTATGAAGTTGGAAACATTACACAAGTCTACCGAGGCTTGTTTGGAAGGTGGACAGCACGAAGCCGTTGGTTTCGCTTATGTTGATGATGATTTTTCGTTCAGAAATCTCAGCAAGAATGTTGAGCTCCAAGATGACGAAGATATGCCTCTGCACGAATCAGAAGAAGAAAACGAAACTGGTTTTATTTCACCATTAATTATTACAAATGGACCATTCCAACAAACACACGCACCACCCCCTTTGTCATACGCACCCCATCCTTCACTGCACGCACCCCCTCATCTACTATTTGGACAACCTCCATCACTTGCACCTCTTCTACCTTCCCAGAAAGCACTTGCACTTCAGAAAGTATTTCATCAGGTGAAGCTTCAAAAAGATTCTGCTTCAGAGCCATCATCACTAAAGTTAAAATTTCCACCACACCCATTGGCCACACCAGCACCACCCCAACCCCCACCCCCACCGCAACAAGCAGCAGCACTGACAGGCCGTTCCATGCCAACTTATTCTGAAATGTCTGCAATAAGTTCTGACCAATCAACTGTTGCAGCATCCTTTCTTGAGTCACTGCCTGATTCGTCATCGTTGAGGTTTAGAACTGCTAAGGTACAACAACTACAGAAGCCGCCACTATTACAACCACCACCACCACCACCGCTACCATTACCGCAACAGAACGCTCTAGTAGAGGAAACAAAACTGAGAAGAAAACAAGCTCTTCCACTTAAAAGCGATTTGCCGCTGCCACCATCTCCACTGCCAAGAAACTCACTTCTAACGAATTTACTTGAATCTGCCTGTGCAAAGGAATTTGAATTGTCACCCCCAGTAATGCTTGGAAGGAAGAAGACAACAGTAGAAAGTAGTTGTTTTGTTGGTATGTTTGTTGTGCTGTGTTCGTGTTATTGGCTGCCGGTTTGGGATGTTATTTGTTGTTGGTTGTTGTGTGTTTGCTGAGTTGTTCAACATTCTTTAAATTTGGTGATGAGCATTGATGAAAAAGGTAAACAAATTTTATATATTTTTTAATATTTTTATATAGCTTCTAAAAGTTTGCGGTTGTTGGAACCGGAGCAGCTGCAGTTACAACAACAGCAGCAACAACAACAAAAACAACAGCTGCAGCAGCTGATTCAGCGACAAACTGTTCATGAATATAGGCCATTTGAAAAAAAACCTAAAGATGACCATCGCTTTCGTCGGCCTAAGTCTGATGATAAGAGAATATTTAATGAGATATTTCTGAGAAAGGTTTTTTTTATTACTTCTAATAACATTTAAAAAAAATATTAATTATAACTCAGTTGAATTTTACATGAATGTTATTTCACCGAAAATTGAAATTCAATTCACTAGGATTCATAAACTTGAAAATGATTTTTTATTAAACTTAAAAAAATCATCGAAAATTTTTAAAGGCGGTTTATAACGATTACGATTACGAAGACGACGGTGACGGTAATAGTAGAGCTGATATTGTGGAGTCATGTTGTTCAAGCAAAGCACCGGATCTGTCACGTAGTAGTTCCTCACGTAGTAGTTCCTTCAAAGTCTGTGTAGCCGATGCAGCTTTTAAGGACGGCGGTTGGAGGAGCTTTTACGGAAAAAGAAAAAAATATAAATTGAAAAGGAATATTGCAGCGGATATAGCGAGTGAGAAAGATGAAAGTTCTTGTGACGATTCGCTGTCGTCCATGGTGGACATGTTTGAAGAAGGTCAGCTGGAAAACCAACTTGAAGAAGATGATGGAGATGAAGAAGATCGTGCAACTATTAACAACGTGAAAACTTTTGTGAAAGAGTTGGACAAATTGTTGGCTCTAGCAATTGAGGTTTTGGATTTATGTGCTTGTGTGTTGTCAAAAATTTTGTTAATTTTTGATTTGTGTGTGTGTGTGCGGCCTTGTCAAAAATTGTGTTAATAGTTACTTTTTCCCTGTTGTAACTTTTCTGAGATGTAGTTAAATATTTGTTTGATACACTCCAAACTTTGCAACAAATTGCTCTCAGTAGCCTACAGCTATTCAATTGCGAATAAATTTCTTCGAACAGGATGGCCAGGAAGTAGCTTATTGGGAGCCAAACGAGGAAGTGGAATCCCTGCTGAGATGTAAAGTGAAAGTCGACATCGGAGATATTTGTAAAAATTTTCCTGGAGTTTACGGTTTGTGCTAATAATAAAAAATATTTGTTTGATCTAAAACTTAGTAAAACAACAATTAATTCCCTTAACTATCTTCAATATATTCTGTCCAAGCAGGCGCAGATGATTTCCAACGTATCAACCGTTTCTACGTCCTGCACCTTGCAGTTTGCCATGCCATCCGCACGATGAAACGTCTCCAGTTGAACTTCTCCAAACTGGCCTCTTACATTTGGGACTATCTGCCATACAAGAAGGCCGTTCTTATCTGCAAACTCGTCTATTACTTCATGACGATTCGGAAAATGTATCCAAAAATTGCTGATGGATGGAGTAATGATTTTGGAGATGAAGACATGAACAAGTTTAGTGGATGAACTATCATACACTTAAAATCGTTACATAATGACTTAACATTTATTTGCTATCGTTTATTAATAATGTTTCTGATATAAACATTTTTGTTCGTCTGCCTTTTTTTATATCCTAATATCGTTTACCACAACGGTAGTTTAATTTTTTATCGAATCGTAGTTAAAATGATTTGCAAGCTGAATGACTAATGGTGGACAGTACTCGGTGAAAATTGTGATATTAATTTGTAACGAAATTATTAAACTTTGTTTTAGAAAAATTAATGCCAGAACTTCATTTTTCATTTATCGATATTTCCTTCAACAAACGATTGTTGAGTAGTTAAGCTGACGTTTGTTGAAGGGTGCGCCAGATATATAGGCTGCAACATTTTTGTATGTTTTTCTTGGCAAAGTAAAAGAATTTAATTTCGGTTTTTCAGAAATATTTTCAACAGTAAACAAATTTGCACCACATTATAATTTGAGAAGGAAATTTAAAAATTATAATTATATTATATTCAATTTATTTCGCCAAAAACATATTAATGATGAGAAAAAATATTTAATATATTTATAGCATCATCATACATTTGACCAAGAGCAGTGCAGCGCAATGATATCAATTCGAATATTGTAAATATAGTAGAATCATTTATTGGAACATTGAGAAAATAAAAATGCTATACATAACAACGACAATCGTGCCAAAAAAATAATTAACAAATGAAGCTAGTAACAAAATTAAACATTAATATAATTATAATATAAAACAATTCATCTAATGGCATTTAAATTCAAATTAATTTAAACATTCATTCTCAACAATACGAACAAAACCAAACCAACAAATCAATGAACACAACATGATAACAATGTTCCTAACGAAAAATTGATAACACAAAAAAAACCATTCCAAAAATGTTGTTTTTAACAGGACATAACATTTAGATTAAAACAACCAGTAACATAAAATACAATTTGATAATTTTATGTAACATTATTTTATATGGACATTTTTGAGTATCTTACTCTTCAATTGACCTTTCACAGTACACAAGGGCAGTGACCTCCACACCACCTTCAACTCTTCGTCTGTTTTTAGGTCAGCCTAAGAAAAAAAAGTTGTTACGTATGCTATTTCCATAAAAAAAAAAACTAAAAAGGCCAGTTGCATACCTGTAATTTATCCCACACTTTCCTCTCCAGCTCGTTACTAGCGTCACATGCGTCCTCATGGTTACTAAGTTCATTAAAATGACCTTCTGTGAAAATTTTGTCACCAGGTTTGGAGCCCTCAGGTACTGATATTAACTCCGTCACTTTTTGTCTGTGTCGATAGGAGGTTAATAATTTTTTGTTGGGAAAAGTGATAAAAATAGAGATTTCTTCGTAAACCAGAAAATAATCGGTGCGTTTTACTAAACAAAGAGTAAAACTATAAAAAAATAAACATAATGAAAGGGACTCAACCAGAAAAAGTACTACCAACTTGCCGACAGCGCAGAGCATAACAGCTTTCGATTCGACACCTTTCAGTAGGACAGGTTTCAAATTGCAGAGGAACATTCCCATCTTACCTCTCAGCTCCTCCTGGCTCAAAACATTTGCCAGAGCGGAAACAACAGATCGAGGACCTGATAAATCGCCAACATTCACAGTGCACACGTACAGACTGTTTGTCTCAGGATGCTGTGAGGAAAATGAACGTTGGAGTAACTATTTAGAAAAATGTGAATGTAATTATATCGGAGCAACTAACCATCTAGGGACGTGAATGTAACGAAATAAAATAAAGTAATTTAATTTAAAATTAGAAAACATATCCATGAATGAATGAGTTTGACTGCATTTGACTGCACAACAAACCTTATATCATACTAAGACGCATGCTGTATGAATAAATGAAACAGTTAATAGGTAATAAGTAAATAAATAAATACCTGTTTAACATCTTCAATCAATCCTACTCTGAGATCCATTAAGGAAGGTGAGAGATCGTCATCAACAACGTTGGCTGTGTGGCAGCGTTATCAATGTTCACAAATAACGCTATCATTAATGATAGTATCATCATCACTATCAAGTATACATCGTCACCATCATAATCAAGACAATCACCTTTTGTGTGGGCAGGCTTGCCAGCAGGATAGGCCTGTTGAATTAGTTTGATGTTCTCAGGAGTGGTGAAATCCTTCCTGATGGGTTCCAGCAAAACGTTGAGGTACTTTTCAATGGCACCTTTGAGGTCCCCTGGATGCACCTCTTGTTTGGCGAATGCAGTTTCTAGAGAATCGTAATCTTTGAATGTTAGTGTTCCTCCAAAACTTTCTGGTCGTTCTATTACGAAATCTGTTTCAAGAAATGTTCATTTCAAACTGTTTAAACTAGATCATTTATGTACATATATGTTGAATACTTTAAAAAGCCCTACTTAAAAGAGCAATTCTATAAGCAGATCTTAAACAAAAATCCAAATGTTCTAATTGAAAAGTTTCAAGTGTTAAATATATGCAAATTTCATCCATCATTAATATCAAAAACAGTGTTAGTAACACAAAAAATCATTCACAAATCTCAAAAACAAGCAACCTTTTCCAGAATTAAGAGGAAAGAGGACAGATTTAGTGAATGCAAGGATGCCATTGTTCTCGATGTTTCCAGGCTCACAAAATGCTTTTTTAAGTTTCTTCTTTAAACTGGCGCTGGAATCCAGAAGATCAATTTTTGAGTCTTCCTCCGAGGAACTCATCTTTGTTCCAGTTAGACCAGGGACTGTGAGAGATGGTGATGTTTTTGTGAGGGTGTGTAAGTGTGAATGAAAAGATGACGATGTTTTGTGAGGGTGTGTGTAACAGAAAGATAGTGAAGGGGTAATGAAAATAGGCTGTAGAAAAGTTTATAAATAAATGAGGTAGAAATAAGTTTGGTGGAATAAAATCAGGTCTGATAATATCCAACAGTGTTTCAACATCATAATTTTATATAAAAAAAGAAGCATAATTGGAATAGCTAACCCATGGGATTCATCAGATGAATTCTCTTCTCATATCCCAAGGCAGGCATGTACTAGAAACAGCAGAATAAAATTTTTGAAGGATTCATTCTACTGAATTGCTACTCTAAATAAATTGCTATCATTTATTACCAATAATGTAACAATTAATGATTAAATCGTACAAAACATGCAATCTATTACTATTAAAAAACTATAAATATATGTTTAAAAATAAAAAAAATACAAAAGGTAGAGAAAATGATTGAGTACCTTTTCAGCAAAGACAAAAATTTTCCTCTGATCAACACCACCAAACTGGGCATCAACTTTCAGGTACTCTTCATCTAAAGCCTTCATGTATGTATGAAAAGTGACATTATGTGGTCAGATAAGAAGTTATTCAGCTTACATATCAATTAACGATACAACCAACCAACCAACCAACCATACAATCAACTAACCAACCAACCAACCAACCTGCAGACCAGGATAGAGCAAGCCACTGAGAAGTGCATTATCAACCTGTTTGACAACCTCAGCTCCCGCCTTCTTTGCATCATGTTCTGTTACAATGGTGGCCATTTTGTACACATCCATCGTGTATTCTCTATGTGTACGTGAGTGTACAATTGAATATGAACATAAGTGTGCATAATTTTGTACAAACTTTTACAGATGATGTGATACACCAATAAATAATTCCAAGACTAGAATAATTTTCCATATATAGGCACACAAAATGTATGTTTATTTGGAAAAATTCCATTTCATGACATAGTCTTGCACGAATGCATATTCATAATTATCATTGATGATTAATGAAAAAAACTGACATACAGTCTTGCGCAAATGCATGTGAACTACAGACTTTGATAATTGGTAATCAGTTCCTCTGACAAACTTCAACTTTTCAAGAGGCACTCCAATGCTGGTGAGCATGGACTTGATGATCCGCTCGTAGTAAAGAGTTCGAAACTGCACTGTCTCCCACGAGGCCTTCAAGTTGTCCAGCACCGCATGCAGGTCTGCCAACAGGATTGTTACCTGGTTGAAAACAAATGAATTTAAAAAAAAAAAAACTTCATAATGTTCTTTAAGGTTTGAGACCAAACACATAAAAAAAGCACTATAAAAAATAATTTATTAAATTTTAAAAATTTTAATGATTTATTATAATTTTAAACTTTAAACATTTAAAGTTTAAATTTAAACAAAATAAATACTTTAAAAATAGTTTTTAAATTTAGTATCCTCCCACCTCACAGCCTGCTTTCAGAAAATCGGCAATCTTGCACATGGGTACAAAGTAGGCTATGTGGGGTTTGCCAGTTGTGGCAGTCCCCCAATACACCTTCAAATCCCGCTCCTTCAGGATTGAGATCAACTTTTCCTGCCCTATGACCTCCTGTTGTAAGAATTCATAATTACTAATTTGATCATTTTAACTTTAATTTATTAATTAATTACAATGAAACACACAGACACACACACACAGACGCATACACGCATGTAAAAAAATTTGGAGATGATGAAATCAATTCAGTCCCGACATGATCTGTGAGAAAGTTTAATAATGTACAAAAATGAAATACCTGTAGATTTCTTGTTATGAATTCTAACTTTGTCTCCATTTTCAATAATTGCCGGAACGAGTTTTATGTGAAATATTGATGAAATTTCCTATATAGCGATAATACACCACTGAAAAATAAACAGATGGCATAGAACTTGAAGTTATTTTTAAATAATATTCGGTTTTCGTTTTTTAAATTGTTGATATCGTTGAAATCTATTAAATAAGCTTGAAATAAATATAAAAAATCTTGCTAATAATACAATTTTTTAATAATAACATTTAAATTTTTACTTTTCAAGCGTTTTCTTTCAAGATTGTGAAAGTTGATTGCCATAGCAACCAAACTGGCTCAGCTGAGTGCGATTTACGTTGCCGTTAATGTAGTAATGGTTAATTGTATTAATTATAATGTTTATAGATCAATTTTTGATTAATCTGCAAATGAATTTAAAATAAATAAATCAATACTTTCAAAAAGTAACTGACTCATTTAGTTTGCAACATTTTTTTTCATAATTTATAACATTTCAAAAATCCGCTTAGTTAGATTTTGGCTGCATTATTGTCGTTGTTTAAAAAATTGTGTGCTCCCCCAAAAAATCCAAAAATGGAAGAAGAAACAGGAGTATTATTTGATGATTTAAAAGTAGGAAAAATATATCAAGACCCAGAAATGCTGAAAAGTAAACTTCCACAGCCATACCGCATGCTCGACAAACTGTTGAACAACATATATGATAACATTTGGGAGGAGATAAAGTGCATTGAAGATAAGAAAGAACGAATGAGAAGGAGGTTCAAACCGCCAGATCTTCCGTTTGCCGCACTTATCAGGGTTTGTTTGATCGCTTTTGAATTTTTAGTTTTAAAATAGTCATTGTTGTTTCATTTTCTTTCCACAATATGTTCATATAATCCTCTGATTGAATTAATTGCGATTGAGAACTTTTCAATAGTTCCACGAAAGATTCTTTCAAATCATTATTCAATCAAATTATTTAGTAGAGCTTTCACACACACACACTCGCTAGCCTTATTCCAACGTAACAACCATTGCTACATGTGGCGGGATGGACAACTACTTAATAGTTGGTCTGACTAACGGCCTGTCGGTAGTCTACTACAAAAATGGCCGGCAGTTGTCCATAGCGCGGTGGGTCGATGAAGAAGCAAGTGTTGTTGAAATTCAAGTCGCTAGAATTCCAGGCAGGTGTTGTCAGCTGATCAGTGCTGTCGATGGGAAAGGTGCTTCGTTGTTGTTTTGTGATGAGGTTTCCGGTTCATATCTTTGCTATCTTTATTTATTCATTTGATTTTTATTCTAATTCGAAGTTATTTTACCGTATTATGATCGAATTTTGAAATGTTTTTTCAGGATTGTTGAGAATATTTCTTTACATGGGAAGTATCTTGTTTCTGGTAAACTCATTCAAGGTGCTTGTTCGTTTGTTTATTAGTTCGTTTGTCTGTTTGTTCACTTGTTTGTTTGTATTAGTGAAATTAAACTTTTCTTTTGTTTTTCAACGATTGCATTTTGAATTGTACTCACAACGTATCATTAAGCAGCAAAACAACGTACGTGTTAATTAGTATCAAATTTTTGTATACAGTAATGTTAGAGTTGTTTAAATTAATTTCTGTTTAGAGGAAAATTTCTGACTTTTATTTTTCAGACGAGCAACAGAGTCTTCTCAACGAAATTATCATCGGACGCGAGTTACCTCGGCGCCGTCACTGAACTTCAACAACGTCTGCTGCTTCATTTAAATTTTTCACTATTGCACGATTTTTTTTTCTGATTGATTTTGTCAAAAAAAATCTAGAAAAGTATGCCCTAATGTAGAATTTCAGTTTATGCTGATCTTTAAATAATAAACCTCGAACTACCTTCTCTTCATAAAAACTATCGTCTCTTTGGATATCATCAGTTTCAATGGCAACACACACATTTGCACATGTGCCCACAAATGTATCAGTAGAATAACCAATTATATTATCAACAATTATTAATATTACTATTCTTATTATTATCATCATTTATTACTATTTAAAAAAAAAATTGAAATCTCAGCAAGCGAGAGAGTGCAATACAAGCTGAACGTGTACTGGTTGCCTCATGAGGACTGGTCTATAAAGCTGGAGTCATTTGATAAGAAAACATTGAAGGTGAGTAATTAGGTTGTTAAAGTCTTGCCGAACCATAGTTTAAATAAAATGGTGAATTATTTTTTGTTGTGCAGTTTTTTGAGTTAATGATAATAACTTTATCTCAATGATGTTAACACCATTTTGTTGAATACAAATTTCGGCTTTACTTGCAGTTGCGCCTTTACCGGCTTCGACTGCACAAAGAATCTCGATTACAGTGATGTGAGTTTATATGGCCGATTCAAATTACAAAAAGATAGATTAGATTGGAGAGTGAAAAAATTAAAATACTTCAACAACAAGAAAAATTGACAAGCTTTTTCATTTTTTTGAAAACTACAAATTTAAGCAATTAGCAAAGGCAAAACTTCTTTTGTCAACGTAAAATCTCTTAAAAGTGAAATTGAACTAAAAATTTAAATGTTAAATTAAACCACGTCAACAAAAATTTCAAATATTTTAAAAACAGTTCAATAAAACGAATTTTAAAATTGAAATTCCTAAATTATTTAATGTCCATAATTTCTTCAATCAGACTGACGATGATGAAGACATGTGCAGCGGTGATGATGGTATGAAGTCTGACAACAAAAACAATCCAGCTAAATCCAAGGTTTTATAAACACACACACGCACGCACACACGCACGCACACACACACACATACACACACATACATACACACACATACATACATACAGAACGTTGTGTCAGATCTAGATCTAGCTCCTCCTACTTTTATGTTCAACGTCAATCAACCCAAAAAAGCAACCGGTTAAATTTTGATGATAACGATTGCGATGATGATGATAATGATGATGGTGGTGGTGATTGTGATGGTGACGATTGTATTTATGATGGTTATGTAAGCGTGATGATGATTGTGACTATGAAGATAATGTGAGTTGAGTATGGTGATTTAGATGATGACTGCATGCCGATATGACATTGTAGTCATAACTATGGTGATGAAGATGATAGTGACATAAGAATCTGTAAAGATGACGATGACGACGATAAGCAAACGCAACGGTGGTAGCCGCAATGACGTCGGAGGAGAGGTGATTACGATAATATCTCTAATGCAATTAGTTTCTAAGAATACTGACAATGGCGATAAGGAGATTAGGACTGACATTCTTACGTACGCATATCATCAGTCATTCGAAGCAAATACCTAACCATGCAAATACCCAACTGTACAAATACCCATTTACATACACTCTTCTCACACTCACGCCAAAATTCACGCGCGCACACACACACAGACACACACACACACACACACACATACAATCACGTGCATTGTATTGTCCTATGTAATTACGTATGTACCAGCCCATGGTTAAAAACAACAGTCATAAAAGCCATCCTTATGCAAACATAGGTAATGCAGTTGTCTGCTAATTTATAAATACGTGTATACAAGTGTTAAATATATAAACATATCACACATGCGCATATATATATATATATATATATATATATATTATAAGTATATGTATGTATACTGATATAAACAAACATACAAATGCACACATATGCAAACACACACACACACATATATACATACAAACATACAAATTCACATACATGCAAACATACAAACTCACATACAAACTCACATACATACACACACACAGCACAGAAATCGGTTGATCTGCAGGAGATGTCCTTGAAAATCCGGCCATCATCATCACCGTCATCGTCATCATCATCATCAGACATTAAAGTTGGATTTGGTTACAAGAGCGTCATCACTCACAACTACATTAAAAACAAGTTAATGAACTATTTTTATGACGTCATTTTTCGGCTGTTGTTGTTTACCTTTTGTTTTATAAGTCCGCGCGTGTAAATATGGATGTATAAGTGGCGTAATGGTTCGCACGTACAATGTGCCTGGTGTGTGGGTTTGCGCGCTCTCACATGTGCGTATGTGCTGTAATTGGTATTCTTAAGAATTAATTAAGAAAGAAATGATGATAGTAGGACGATATAACCAGTAGAGTATTAGGAAACAGACGGAAGAAATTTTATCTTATGATATGATACGATACGATACGATATGATATGATATGATATATGATATGATATGATATGATATGATATGATACGATTGTCTGACTGGTTTCGTTTGTCTTTCGCTAAAAAAATTCTAGTATGGAAGAAATATTTACACGGAATGCGGAATGATGATTTGAAAATTTGAAATTTGATAGTATTAATAATATTAACATAGAGAGAGAGAGAGAGAGAGAGAGAGAGAGAGAGAGAGAGAGAGAGAGAGAGAGAGAGAGAGAGAGAGAGAGAGAGAGAGAGATGGAGATGGAAAGAGAAAGAGAGAGAAAGAGAGAGAGAAAGAGATGGTTATATGCATAGATGTTGACATGTTGACAATTAAAATGTTGGTCTATTATTATATTATTATCATTATCATTATAAATTATTATTTGTTATTATTATCATTCAACTTAGAACAAACTCACTTGCCCTAAAGCATTGGAAGAAAATAGAACTCATTGAACACTTCGAAAGATCAAATTATTTAGAGGGCTGCTTCATAAATAATAATAATAATAATAATAATAATAATAATAATGATGATGATGATGATGATGATAGAAAGACCCAAAGGAAGAAGAAAATAAGGAAAGTGGATAGCGTAAGGAAGTGGCTGAACTGCAGTAGTTGCGGCGAGGCTGTTGATGATTTAGTTCGTACAGACAGGTGGAAAGAATGTTCTTACTTTTTATCATTATCATCACTACTACTCTCATCGAATGAATGTAGTGAATGAATGAATGAATGAATGAATGAATGAATGAATGAATGAATGAAGTGAATGAATGAATGAAGTGATTGAATGAATGAAGTGATTGAATGAATGAATGAATGAAGTGATTAAATGAATGAATGAATGAATGAATGAATAAATGAATGAATGAATGAATGAAATGATTGATTGAATGAATGAATGAATGA